GCATCCTGACACTGAGGTTTTGTTTGGGCTTTGTGCTTTGGCACATCCATCATGAAACATAATGAAAGTTACATTAAAGTTACAGCTTTAATGTAGCGTGGGTAGAAGAAAGAACACTGTGGGCACATCACATTTAATTAAGTTTAATTAAATACTGCTGAAGCACAGAGCATGAACTCAGAAATTTCTCTTTGAACAATACTACATTAATTTACATGGTGAGTTAGTTTTAACTAAAGAAGGACGCCAGACACATTTGTACTTTCAGCAAATTTAACACACTTATTCATACAGCCTTTAAATAAAGTTGGTCTAGTTGGTCATCATTCACCATGTAGAGGAAACGTTTTCTTTAACCCTTTAAGACCTACCATAGAACCAAGTCCGCCAGAGTTATCTTTATATTTTTACATGCTGCAGTAACATTTTTGGGAGCATTTCAAGTTGCTCCCAAGTATACATGCATACAATCATTATAGCCCAAACTTTAATAATATATATGTGTTAAGTCTATAATAACTACATTAATTGCAACAAACTGCAATAAAATACAAAAAATTAAAAATCGTTTTTGTTTTTTTTGTTTTTTACATATATTTGTAGGTAAAGAAATTAAAGAGGTTTGTCCCGCAAAACTGTAAATACAAAAAAGTTGCACAAAATAGTTTCTAACAACAGGAAATGTATTTTGAGTGTCTTCATAGTTTTGTTTTTGATATACACCAATTTTTATATACTGCTGGAAAAACGAAAATAAATATTACAATGCAAATTTGCGGAAAAAAAACCCAGCATTTGCATCAAAATAAACTATTTCCAGCAGAGTAATTTGAGTTCTAAGCATCCTAGAAACTATTCAGACAAGCATGAAGTCAAGCAACACCAGTGCAGGCTTATAAGGTCCCGAAGGTAAAAAAACAAAAAAAAAACAACAACTACATTTTCCACAAAAATGACATCACTTCCGGTTTTGGCCAGGTCATGGTGGACACACTATAGTTCGCACTGATGTCTATTCCAAAGTAGGAAGTGTTACGAACAGCTGATCGAATCGGCAAAGCGTGTTTCTGGAATATTATGTTTTTGTTGCTGCAAATGCTTTTTATGCTGTTTTTGCAAAGCTATATGTGGAAGGAAACTGTGACTTAGGACAAGCTGATGACATAAAATGTAAGTACAACTCCTCCAGTTTCATATGCAAAAGAATTATTGTGCTATCTTACCTGGTTCCGGATCTACAGGGATTTAAAAATAGTTACACAAAACTGAGCGTACCTGCTCCGACCGGTTTTAAAGGGTTAAGGTAGCTATTTCCTGTCATATGTATATATATTGTTACTGGGGTGGAGGCTCATAGTCAAAGTTTGAAATAATGAGGTCAGAGTATGTACAAGTACTCCCTTATATGGTCATCTTAAGCGCACAAGGGGGCAGCCAATCACAGGTAACCTGGCTTTAAGCAAACTAGTCTTGTTTCGTACAGAAGATGAACTGAGGAGCTGCTAAGAGCTGCCAGTCCAAGTGTTTGATAAATCATGGAAAGCTACTCTTGCAGCTTGAATCTTTGCTAACAGGACCGTAGGGATGTAGCAGGAGAGCAAAGTTTTAAAGCAATATCATATTCAAATCAGAAGAGTGGACACTAAAGTGCATTAAACAAGTCTGTAGACTGACTAAATGAGGTTGATTTGACTCTCTTGATGTTTTCTCAAAAAAACAAACAAAAGAAAAAAAACAAAGAGCACAGATGCTTGGATCTTGAAAAGTGATCTTTTGTAAATTTGTTTGTCAGGAACCATCTGCCCAAAAAAAAATAAGCAAATGAAAATCTGCTTTACATGCAGAGGAGAGATTCGTTCGTCTGTTTGCAATCTTTGGACAGGTGGTGGAGAGAAAATAAGCATAATGGCCTGTTGCCTGTAGATACTGATGACAGCCACAGGAACATCCTAACATGTGTATACATATACACCACCACGTATAGCAAGGTGCCACAGTTGCTCTTAATTAATAAGTGTTGGCCATTACCAAAAATAAATAAATCTATATTATAGTTTTTAGATGTCTGTAATGGTTTATCCACCAGTTCATGCAAGCAACATTTCAGTGCTTAACCCTTTACAGACAATGATTTCATGGTTCAGGCTTTAAAGAGTTAAAAGCCAGTCTGCAGGCTTATAGAGGTTAAAATGAATAATCTGTTGTTCATTCTAAAGTCACTGCATCACTGCACTTAACACCTACACTCCAACTGCCAAAACAACAGGCAGCCAAAGTCTAATTGTGCCGTTAGCGGTGCAGTGGCGGCATGCCAGAGTCAGAGAATCTTCACTGCAATCCTCTTTTCTCTGGGCCAGGTGTATTAAGGTGGAAATGGATTTTAGATTTGTCATTAATATGACGTCAGCTCACAGCAAGGAGGTGAAAATCTGCAGGGGAGCACAAACTGATTGCATTTTCACAAAAGATCTGAGAAACATCATGTAGAAAACAGGATAGATGTGAAAATGTGAAGTTAATTGATTACGATGGCCATCAGAGCACGGTAATCTAGCTGTATCCTTTCCCTGAGAATAAGGGACAGTCAACGTGCAATAATAATCTCCAGCTACATACATCTGTATATATAGAGTATTGGTGGGGTTATCTCATTTCCACCCCATTCCCTTCTGAACGTTACCTCCAAATGAGGTGTACCTCGCTGTGGATGTTATATAACTTTTCATTCACTGGGATGATACTGCATTCTGTTTCAACCATTTGAAATGTAGTTCAGAGTGATTAAAAACAACAGCCCAAGATTTTCTAATTGGCAGTAAACCCAAAGTGCAAACTGCAAAGAATGTGATTACTTAGTCATAAAGTACATTGATCTTCTTTGTTAAGTTTGACAGGTTTTATTTCTGTTTGCAGTATTTTATAAGGATTTAAATTCTTTTTGTGCTTGAAAACATTTGTTTGCAAAAGTTCCAAATTTCTCCTCTGCAAGTATTGAAAATAACCTTTTGACAAACATACAGTAACTAAGCAACAGAAGAGCTGCTTTGCCGAGCTGTGGATGAACTCCAACTCTTTGTTCTGTGCTGCAGCCTTGGTGAGTTCTGCGTAGGATTACATGAACCAGTTCTCATTGTTCAGGGTCTCGTTGACGTGGCCCTCCAGTTCACATAAGATGAACTCTGCAAGAGAACAAAGACCGCCTTCGCAGCTGCAGTCCAGGACGGTGGAGTTGGAGTTCATCTGAACATGCGAAGCAGCTGAAGAAAACTGGATCTCCAAGATAAGGAAGTAATCTGGACAATGGGGAAAACAGGAACACGTGCCATTCTAATACATGAAAAAAAAAGAAATGGCTTAAATGAGCCATCAAACCTACTTGTGTGGAGGTGGATCTACTGACTAACCAGTACCAGTACCATGAATACCTATGGACTTTATGGATACCTACAGTACAGTAGGTATCCATAAAGTCAAACGAAGCATATAAGTATAGATTGAAAATCTGTTTACTGTCACGTCAGACCATACAAAGTAGAAAAAAAAAACTCTCTTTGACTTCTTCTTTTTGTTTGATGGACTTGCCTGTTTCCAACATTATGCACTGTCATCAATTGTCCACAGATACCCAAACCACAGATAATAGTGATAGAAACACAATTAGAATCCAATGTGCCCGTCTCTGGTTACGAAGCAGGTGAAACAGGTAGCTCACCAGGAAGATCGTGAACACAGATTACATGTTCTTTAAGTGTCACCCACCTGTGGCGGTCCAGTGCGATGACGTTGAGCGTCACAGTGGAGACATGCACGGTGAGCCCCTGGGCGTAGGGCAGCAGGAAGCAAAGTGTGCTACCAAATTTCCACTCACCCTGCAGGGTGTAGACGAGGGTGAAGGGGAGGCACAGAGTGTTGACCAACAGGTCGGCTGGAGATAGACAAGAAGAAACATGTTTGGCTGTAAAAGTTCTCATGAATACATAACAGAAAACTTCCACTAAACTAAGTTATACAAATGCAACTTATGTTGCTGTCTGTGTGCCAGGAGGCACTAGAGGCAAAAGTTAAGCAAGTGTGTGCATTTTGCCTGCCTTGGATTTACTCTTGATAAAGTTGGATAGTTTAGCTTTTTCCCAACTTAAGGCACCAAATGCTATTTTCGGATCCAGCAGCATTCAGTGTCTTAAGTTGTGGAATTTCATTAAGCATTGTCTGTTGGGCATATGGAGTCTTTTTTTT